TTCTGACAGTGTATGATTTCTATTAACATTACAGAATAAAACATGATCAATATTATCTTTCAACGTTCAATTTAAATAAATGTAATTGTACAAACTATGTCAGCTACGATTTCAATTTGTTTATTGTGAAATAACTTATAAGCATTGTTCAGGGCTGCCGTTTCCAAAAGCTTTAATGCTTTCTTATGATACTTTTGGGAAACGCAGCCCTGTTTGAATGCACTTTTAGAAGTGAGTGAACGCTCTCTGTGATTAGTTTTGTCTTTCAACATTTGCGTGTCCAGATGAGCAGGAAAATAGTTCTATCCTACACAATTACTCGCTAACAAAGGTTATTCGTCCAATTCAATGCATTTGTACGCATTATTATTATTATTTTAAATAAACAAAATCACTGGTAAATAAAACACACCTTAGTATCGATATTTCGAGACTTAGGATAGATACCACAATTACTCGCTAACAAAGGTTATTCGTCCAATTCAATGCATTTGTACGCATTATTATTATTATTTTAAATAAACAAAATCACTGGTAAATAAAACACACCTTAGTATCGATATTTCGAGACTTAGGATAGATACGCCCATCCCTAGTTAAAATGTGCTAAATCAGTCATTAAAAACCGGGTTTGCTTTAGGACCCAGATTTAATTTGGGTGCTAATTGGTCATTCGAGATCAAACATCAAAAGTTTATAGTGAACAAAAATCTTCTTAAAACCAAAACCAGGAGCAATACACAATACGCAGATATTTACATAAGAAAATCTGACAGTTTTGTAAATGCATAAATAACAGCAGAACTACTGCACTTTGCAAGTACCGACTGTTCAACAGCCTGTGACATTAACTGCAAACAATATGGGTAGCATAAAAAAATTCTTTGTTATTTTTAAATAAAAATAAACAAAAAAATGGTTACAATCCTGTAAGGTGCAATTAAACAGTTAAGTATTTAGCATTGTTTTCCCCTACTTTCCAAGTCTATCAGAACAAAAGCCTCAGATGATTGCTTAGCTTAAATTCGCAATGAATACTGATGTAAATCAGAGTGAAATGGATTGTCATAATGTTTTTGATGAAGACCAAAGACCAAAATGAAAAATAAATAAACATTCATAGATAAATTGTTCACAATAACATCAATAAGATGCATTTAGAAAATAGATTTATAATTTTAAATTTGTGCGGACTATAACTTTTGATTTGGTGTTTTTCAGTGTGTAAGTGTTTTGTGTCCCTCTGTTTGACTGTTTATGTAAATCCAGTCTGAAATCTTCATCTCAGACTAATTTCTTGCTTATTCTTTGCTTTGCGCTGGCAGTGTTGACATCTGCACATTTTATTCCTCTTTTTTTGTGTGTGAGAAAAACCTACAGCAGTGACTGTTGGTGGATGCTGTGAGTTGAGTTGATATTTTAATGCTTTATCACAGGAGGCTTTTATCTTGACTTATGATTAGGTTAGCAGTATTTGAAAGCTCTGGGAGTCATCTGAGATATCCCTCTGATTTATGTTTGCTAAAAGAGGCTTGTGCTTATCGGCTGTCATGGGAGCTTTGTCTGCTCCTCTCAATTCATGTTGATTAAAGTTGCCTGAAAATAGTTTCCAGTCTCTGGAGACTGTACATGAAAGCGTCAGACAACTAGATTCCAGGCAGCAGATGGTACATTTTAAATGCTTTTTGAATTGGTCAGATATCATGTGTTTTTATTTTATTTATTTTAAGCAGGTTTTGTGCTTTCCCAAAGAGATGCTCAAAGCATAGCAAACACTTCATCTTGTTAGAATGACAAAACGATTGGAACAACATGGTTGCTCCATAGGGACTGATGTTGAAACTTCATGGGCTGCATTACTAATTAAAATGCAGTTCATTTGGAAATACTTTTTTTTTTTTTTTTTTATAAAATGACACAATAGGTTTGGTATCCAAGAACTGATTCTTATTCAGAATTCCTTTAACAATTCTTCCACAATGCGGATTAAAAATACCATGCTGAAATACGCTGACAGTTTCCTGCATTAATTAATTAATGGTGCTCCAACAATACTATCTAGAGTGCTGAACAGTGAGCATACACCGCAACCTAGGGCTGCACGATGTATCGTTTCTGCATCGATATCGCGATGTGCGCATGTATAGTATAGTGGTCGTTAATCCATATGGACCAGGTACCAGGGTTCGAAACGCAGCAGTTTAATGATCCTGTTGCTTTCTGTGTCATGAATTTTTATCAAACAACAAAACACAGAGAAAAATCACACACAACACAGATTTAATTAGATTTAATTTATACAGTGAAGACTATGCAGTGTTATTTTACATTTGATTATTCAGGCTCTGTACCTGAATAGTGAATACTGTTAGACTTACCTGAAAAATATAAAGCACTGTTTATTTCAATTGCATCTTTGTTCTATTATATTTATCTATGCTTGTAATTTGTTTGTTATTTTCTTTACTGATTTACTCACCTACAAAATAGAGCTATTCAAGTCATCTGGTGATTTTTTTGATTTCATATCACAATATATATAGCAGAAAAACAAAATATCACAATGTGAGTTTTTTTTTACAATATCGTGCATTCCTACTGCAACCAGTGTAGCCTGGCCACAGAATGAATGACTCTTACGAGCCAGTCCTTTTTAGTAAATGTAAAACATACTGTGCAACCAGTGTAGTTTGATTCCCTAACAAATGACTCTTATTGAGCGGTTTTGTTTTTTTTTCCAGAATTTTTACACCAAATTCAGTGTAGCCCGGTTACCGAATGAATGAATTTTATGAAACGTTTCTTACAGTGAATCAAAAACATTAACAGTAAAAAGTGTAGCCTGGCCATTCTGCAAGATACTGCACAATCTGTGTAGTCTAACTCCCCAACGAATGACTTTTATGAGCCAGGTCTTTTTAGTGAATCACACAATTTATAATTGTGAGACATAAATCTTTGAGGTTATTGACTAGTTGTTCATATGACAACGTGTAGCTAAGGATAAAACAGAATCATAAAATTATTTTTCCTACTAGGCTGCACTGTCAGGATCAGGAACAGAAAGAAATTCTTTATTTTTCTTCTAGCTTTTGAGGCTTGCTGCTCTGTCAAAAACCTCTTCACACACTCAGTGCAAGTGAGTGTAGTGGAAAGCAAAGACAAGACTTGTATGATGTTCCCAGCAGGGGTATCTTCTTCATTTATATTTTGACCAAGTTTTAATGCTGGAAGTTTCTCAAAGAATCATGGGTAAAAACGGTTTCTGAGCTGTATTTGTGCTGTAAACCCTGAGGTGTGAAAATCAACTTTTTTCCTGCCGTTTTTGTTTCCTTATAACACAAGAACTGCTGTGAAGGTGTTATATACAGCTGAAGTTTCTATACGACAAGCGAGACGAATGTTTCCACGTGCTCCAGGTGTTAGAGCTTTGCCCTTAACTGACTCTCTCACTTGAGATAAAGACTTTTATAAATACTTTAAACTGATTGTTTGATTGTTAGCATCTTATGTAATGTTTAATTATGCAAAACATTGTATGCATTATCCACAAACACAGCATTAATAATTGAGATATTTAAAGTAGATGGTTTGTCAACTTCAGGTTATTTTCTCCTGTTCTTTCCAGATGAACAGAAGGAGTGGAGTGGGCCCTTTTACTTCATCCAGGCTGCGGACCCCCAGCTTGGCCTGATGAAGGCGTGGAGGATTGGTGACTGTGATTCAGGAGGGGATGAGAATATTTTTCTTACACAAACGCAAAGTTCACTTCAGAAAGTCTTTATTAACAAATAAATATGGCTGTGCAAAAGTTTGGGCACCCTCTTGTTTGTGTGGATTTGAATACTTGTAGTCACTTAATGCTGATTAATTGCAACACAAAAAAATTATTTGATTGACTCAGTGAATCATAACACTGCAAACACAAGTCCAACCAATCATGAAAAAGGATGTTAAAGGTAGCTGATTGCTAGCTTTGCTTCTCCTTTATTCTCTACTTGAAAGTAACAGCATGGGAACCTCAAAATAACTCTCTAATAACCTAATAGGCTAATTTATCAATATGAATTAGGAGAAGGATACAAAAAATTATCACAAAGGTTTAAGGGTTACTGCCTCCACAGTCAGAAATATAGTTAGAAAATGGAAGGCCACAGAAACAGTCCTTGTGAAGGAAAGATGTGCTGAGAAAAATATCTGAAAGGCAAAGGTGAAGAGTGGTTAAAATGGTAACAGACAAACCACAGACCACCTCCAACGAGCTCCAAGAGCATATTGTTGCTGATATTGTCATTGTACATCTTTCCACAGTCCAGTGCACTTTGCACAAGTAACAGCCCAATGGAAGGGTGATGCGTAATAAGACTTTTCTGCATACTGCCAGCAGGCAGAGTCATTTGAGGTATGCAAAGGCTCATCTGGACAAGCCAAATAATGTGTTGTGGACAGATGAAACTAAGATAGTTATTTGGTCACAACCAGAGACGCTTTGCATGGGTGGCGGAAAAAGAACACAGCATTCCAGGAGAAGAACCTGTAAAATTTGGTGGAGGGTCCATCATGCTGTGGAGCTATGTGGCAAGCACGTGTACTGGAAACCTTGTCAGAGTTGAGGGTCGCATGGATTCCACCCAGTATCAGCAGATTCTTAAGAACAATGTTGAAAAATCAGTCAAGAGTTTGAAGTTATGCCAGGGTTGGTTGTTTCATCAGGACAATGACCCAAAGCATTGTTCCAAATCTACCAAAGAATTCATGCTCAGACACAGATACTGTACAATGTTCTTGAATGGCCACGAAAATCTATGGATTGATTTGAAGCGGGCTGGAGAAATTTTGCAAGGAAGAATGGTCCAAAATACCTGCAGCGAGAATTCAGAGACTTATCAGTGGCTATAAGAAGCATCTACCGGCTGTTATTTCAGCAAAAGGTAGCTGTACTAAATATTGATGCCATTATTCTGTTGGGGTGGCCAAATTTTTGTTTTTGTTATGATTCATATTGCATTGTTTCTGTTGATATGTCAGAACTGAAATGTTACTGTTTCCATAAGGTATAAATTATATCCAAATGAAGTTGCTGCTTCGAAAGTTCAGCAGATTATACTATGAAATTATGATAATTATCAAGGGTGCCCAAACTTTTGCATAAAACTGTATATATAGCATGGCAACAATATAAAGTGTGAATCAGTAGAGATTTTGCTATATGGTGTATATTGCTACACAGTATATTCGTACAGTCTTAAAGTGACAGCACTATAATATACCTGCTGCTGTCTGTGGTGTTAGTTTGAATCAAACAACTAAAGAAAACAAAACAATAATTCACTGCTCTTGATGTAATCTTTAGTAGTTGTAATAAAGATCAATATGTTTAATTCATACAGTGAAGACTATGCAGTGTTTAATTTTTACATTTGATTATTCAGTTTCTATAGTATTTCGTACCTGCATAGTACAACTGTCAGATAGACCAACCGGAGAAACATAAAGCTTTTCTTTTGTATCTTTGTTTGTGGTATTTGTCTTATTGTTTGTAATTTGCTCATATTTTTAATAACTAATAAATAAAATATCTAATAATGTACATGAAGTAATGTTTATTTGTGAAATGCTTAGATGCTACAATACATTGTATTTATTTAAATAATATTTAATAGTTTAACATTTGAAAAACAAAATTCTATTATATTACTATTTATATATGTTTATTATTAATATAAGCTAAATAAGTGTGTTGCATATTAGTTATTGGAAATAAAAATCTTGCAATTTAACTGGTATTGCTGTTGACTACTAATATCTTTGAATTGGTTGATAGATCAATATAAAAGATTAGATGCAGGATATAAATAAGAAACAGGATTATTTAGTATTTATTAGACAAAAAGCTCACTTTAGGGTTCATTTATTTTTTGTTTATGATTGAAGAGGCAAGAGTCTTTTTTTCAAGTCTTTTCTTCTTCTGTCGTCTCTAATCTTTGAGGTGGCTATTATGAAATGGAGCTTGTGGAGCTGAGGGTCCGGCACTTATCTAATTGCCTCAGCTCAAACTGCAAAGCACACAGGGAAATAAAAAATAACCTCTGAAGGCTAGGCGGTAGTTACCTGTGAAGGTGACGAGAGTGTTTGTACATTAGGTTTCGGGTCTCTGAGTCAATGTTTCTTGCGCTTGAATGTCTTGCACTTGAATGCCAGTATCAAAGTGACGGTACATTTAAAGCTGTCATAAATGTTTCTCACCGCATGAATTTAAATCACCCAAATGTTGACAGTTACTGTTTTTTCAATGGCTGACTTATCAGATTATCCCCATTTAGGATCCAAGGGAACTCTGAAGTGTCATATTTGCTTGATTTAGTATGAGCCCAGGTTTGTGGCTTCCCTGCTGGATGTAATTTATAGGTCAGGTTATGAGAAGCTGCCTGTAAAGGCACAGCTATGGAACTTTATGAGGTTTGGAGACCTTTAAACGGCCTGGTGTCAACACCCATTAGTGTCAGGCCAGAAGAGCAGGCAAAGGATGCCATATGCATTACACGCCATGTCCGTCATGCAGCGTGTTTCCTCTCTCTGCCCCGCACAGGCTTCACCAGACCTATGCTACTTCCTCCTCACCACTTCTTCATTAATCACTATGGCTTTGATAGCAGAAGTCAGTGAAAGAGAACAGCTTCCTCAAGGTTTTATTTGCCTTTGCTCATCTTTGGTCTTCAATCACAATAAAAATCACAGGAAAAATAAAAACACACCAGCAGACAAATAAAAGAAAAACGGGTGTGACTCTGATCTGACAGTCTTGGGTGATGGTTGATTATATCTAGACAAGGCTGCAAAACACGTTTTGACAAAGCTTCTATAGCAATTTTCATGGTTGACTCAAAGAATGAATTTTTCATTTTTGATTCAAAAGAAATGGTTTTGTTAAAGTCATTTCAGATACAGAATGAAATGTGTACAGTCGTTTTAATGTAGAATTTTCATTTAAAGTTTATTGCCAGTTTCCACCTCAGAGTAAAAAAATAAAATAAGGTGATGTTATTGTGAGATAAACAAGGAAATAAATACACATTTTTTAAGATGCAGTTACAAGTCTAAAATGGCAATTTGTGAGAAACAAGTCACATTGTAAGATATATAGGAAAGTATTATTTATTTTTAAACAGGTGATTTTCATATAATTTTTTTTAAATGAGTGCCTTACCCTTTACCTTAACATCTCCTAATTATCCTATTATTAATTGATTATTGTTACCATTAAACCACCAGGGGTTACCATTAAAAATAAAAAAATAACTCCTAGTTTAAAGAAGCAATTACTAGACACACAAAATCACAACTATGAGTTATAAGTCACACTATGAGATATCAAGTCACAGTCATGACTGTAAAACTTACCACGCTTTCCTGTACATTAAAATGTGCTCAAAAATCATTCTATTATTCATTTATTATTGAAGTTATACTTAAAATAATTACTCATTCAGCAGATGCACTGCCGAAAAGATGTTCTTGCCTAGCCTGGTGTTAACAGCAGGTGCTGTTTTGTAACCACTTGTAAACATTGCATAACCTACGGTTTGTGTCTTTTTAAGTTATACGCATGGCTGGGTGATAAATAAACTCAGTGCCATGTTAAAAACAAACAAAAATTATAGCTAATATTTTAACAAATAAGTGTTAAAATTCTTCCACTATATACAAAAGTGCAAATTATGAGGGTGTGCAAAAAAGAAATAAATGATTATTGGATGATATACATCTGAGCGACCATAATAACAATATGTATGTGTTATAAAGTTCATATGCACATGATGCATTTTTGCCCCTGGCAGATTCCTCATTAAGTGTATGGATAGTTTGGGTGTAGGAGCTCCTCCAGAACCTCTCAGTATTGACCCCAAGGCTTTGCTAGGTTTTTTCTGACTGCAGCAGTGAGAAGAGGCTGTTGTTGGATGACAGGGATCCGTAATGATTTTTTTTTTGCTTTAGTCATGCTCTTCCTGGTGTAGTTATCCTGCAGGTTGGGTTGTATACCCTCTGTGATTCATTAAGACCATCACACCTTGAGCAGGTTCTGTGTTGTGCAGCTCACATAATAGACAGTAATACTACTTGACAGGAGGCTATAATGCACCTGTAAAAGAGTATCTGTATCTTGGGGGACATCCCAAACTTCTGGGAAAAGAGGCATTGCTGTGTCTTTGTGATCTACTTTTTCTTTCGACTCCCATAAACTCGAAGTAGTCATCCTTGAATTCTGCAGTTTCAAGCTTGCTGTATATTTTTGATTGAGGATCTTACAGAGCTTGTGGAGACGTTCCACCATATTCCTCAATGGTGGAATATGTCAATCTGATTTGAATTTTCACCCCAAAATGAAAATTATGTCATCATTTACTTTGTCATTTAAAAGCCATATGATATGACCCACTCCACACAGTAAAATTGAATGGTGACCGGATGACTAAATGTAAAATAAAAGTAATCCAAACAACTTTTGTGCTATATTCCAAGTCTTTTCAAACCATATGTTAGCTTTGTGTAAGCAACAGATTGTTAAGTAAATTGTTATTCAAGAAATGTTCTCAGCAATTCTGAGGTCGGTAAGATTTTATGTATTTGAAAGAAACATTTTATTTAATCAAAAATACAGTAAAAGCAGTAATATTGTGTACATTATGTATGCTCGTAACCATTTGTGAATATGTGCACATTCAAATCACACTAATATAATGACATTTTTCAATTAATAATTTGTTAATTTTATCTACTTTATGGCCCTGGTCACCATTTACTTACATTATATGGAAAAGAGCAGCAAAAACATCCTGCCTAACATCTCTTTTTGTGGTTTATGGAAGAAAAATCATACTGTTTTGGTAACGACATGAGGGTTAGTGAAATAACTTTAATTCTTAGGTGAAGTATCCCTTTTTATGACCGTTGTATTGGCTATCTCAAGGTTTAGAACAACCCTGTCAGTCAATATTTCCTTCATTAAACACGTGCTGTGACTCTTCAAACCTCATTGGTGACCAAATCTGATTTTATTTCAGCCATTCTACCTCCTGTGTTCTGCCTGCCATAATGAACAGTCAGCGGCAGCATGTTGGACAAGTAAAGTTCCACTCGGTAATTGAAGGGCCGCTCCATGATATCGGCACAGAATCCTTGTGAGCTTTCCGGTTCAAGGACTTCTCCTGACTGGCAGCAGGAGAGATCATCGAGGGAGGTGATTAGATTAGGAGAGCACTGAACCTGATGCTTTCCTAATGGGGACTATAAAAACGTTTGCCTGCTGCCTGTAGACTTGTGTGTGCTGTGGTAGGGGACAACTCAGAAAGTGAGGTGGAGTTTTTCATATCCTTCTGTTTCGCCTTCCATATACGTAAGGTTTTTAATTGCTGTTGAAAGCGGATAAAAGTGAAGTTCTCTGAGGAGTAGCTGCACATCAGTGGGCTGACCAGGGGGAAATCAGCTCTGGAAGAGCCCTCTCTTCTCTGTATGTTTAGCTGATAGAGATCTCTTTTGGGAGAGATTTTAATAGATTTCTGTGGGATTTGGCACAGCTGGGAGAAATGGGGGACCTGTTGAAATGGAATGTTACGTAACTCAGAGAGAAAGTCAAAGTGTGGCTCAGATTCAGATATTGGGCAATGGGCATTGATAATAGCATTGATCACAAATTAAGAGTAGTAATTGGCCTATTCTCACCAAGTACACTTGCTAACACATAAAAAAAGAAGTTGCTTCAATGCAATTTATTTTTATTTATTTGAAGCCATAATGAAAATTCTGTAATTTATTATTTAGTAATTTATTATTTATCTTTTTCAATTTAGTCTATTATCTATTTTAAAACCTGTATGACCTTTCCCACACAAAAAAAGAGTTATATGGGCTACTTTTTTATTGTTGGCTTTTTTTCTGTGGTCATGGAAATTATTAACCATTGTCACTTTGTCAGTGGAAAAGATCTGTGTATCGCCATCATGCCAGGAAGTACCATTTGGAAAAGAATAACTTTTACATCTAGCATACCAATTCTTTATGTCAGACTCTCTCGCGTTCTGTCTTTGTATGCATGTGAGAGAAAACAGTCATAGGACACAACATACAGTGAATGTATATTTGTTCTGAACTACTAAGGCTATTTTCAGCCTCTTTTTAACTCACCGGCAGGTGAAATATAACAATTTACTAGCCAGTGGCTATTGACAGGCATTCTTTAGCATCCTGATGCGCAAATTGGTCGCATATGTGTGTGATTTGCTTGCATTGTAGAGGGTTGCTTGATAATAATTTACAAAAAAAATGGTCCAAAATTTAAGTACACATTTTAGTAAGGTGTTGGAAAGGCAGTTAATTCTCTCCATAGACTAGAATCATGGTCTGTTGGTTTAGTTTTCTTTGTCTAGCATTCACAACACCACAGTCACTAATGCCAACTCTAATTTCAACTCCGCTACTCATTGAGTTTCAAATTCACAGCAGGCAATTAGCAAGATGCCCTATTTGTCATATTAGAGGTAACCTAAGGCTGTTATTAACGAGCTTCAAAACTCATCGCTTGACAGTCTGCCTTTACTTTAGAGAAATGCGGTTAGACTGGATGCTTTCCTATCTTCTGTATGAGACAGAAACGTTATTCTGAATCCTCCACATATTGCCTACTTCAGTATTATTTTGAAGATGGAAAGAGCCATTGAAGATAGTATTTATATACTATCACATGCCTCGTGTCTGGTGCTGCATCTTATTTTCCACTGAAAGCTGACTGTTCCTGCTATGTTCATTGCTGCTGTACTCAATATTGCTCCGGAGGATTTAACTGTAGTTTTTATGTATATAGTCTTTTTTGCTCCTGTTATGCAGTTATCTCTTATTCCAGAGAAGAAAATATAAATGTATGTTTGGGATAGTGTGTGGAAATATAAAAAAATATGTCAAATGAAAATATAAATATAATATTATAAATACGTTTGCTGAATATCCTGTTGTATGGAGCTCATTAAGGAATTAAATTGGGTTGCAGATGTTATTTTATTGACATACTAAGACATACAGTACTTACTTAAATGAGGCTTTTCAACCAAGAAAAATCTCTCTTAATTTCTCAGGATGTCCGTTCAGAGAAGAACAGGTTAAGGACCTCAAAGAAGCACTGAGAGGAAGTGACCCCGACATTCCTCTAGTGTTCGTCAGTGGCAACCACGATCTTGGCAACATACCCACTCCGGAGAGCGTGGAGCAGTTCTGCCGTGACTGGGGCGATGATTATTTTAGTTTTTGGGTGGGTGGGGTGTTGTGTTTGGTGTTGAACTCTCAGTTCTTCTTCGACTCATCAGGCTGCCCTGAGTTAATGGAGGCCCATGAGGTCTGGCTGGAGAGCCAGCTGCAAAAAGCCATCCATACCCCCTCCCGCCACGTGCTTGTCTTCCAGCACATTCCGCTCTTCCTCCATAAACCTGACGAAGAGGATGACTACTTCAACCTGCAGAAGGGAATCAGAGAGCGCTTGATCCAGAGATTCAAACAAGCAGGTGAGAAGAAAGCACTTGAGCTTTACACATCAAACAAGACAAGTTGCAAGTGTTCATATCTCACGTCATAAAGTATCGTAGAATGCTCTTTGTCTTTAGGAATGCCATATACTCAGGATTTTGTTTAGCCTTTTCCCGAAAATATGCTAAATAGTAATCAAAATAGTTTTTTCTAACATTTTTTTTACATTTTATTTTATATATGTATCTTTTTATTTTATATATGTGTCTTTTTGTTGTCATAAGAACAACAATACTTAAATTATATTGATTTGCATTTTTCACATTGCTTTCATGAGGCATAAATGAACAGTTTTAGTTCTCAGTTATATAATAAGAAATATAAATCTGCTTTTAAGTAAGTGACTTATGGTTTGTTTCTGACTGATTCGCCAAATGGTTTGATAAAAAAAACAAAGCACCAGCTGATTTACTTGTTTGTGAATTGGACAGAAAGGGTAATATATCAGTAGTATATATATTAACTAGTGTACATAACGGATCAGTGTACAGTAAGCCTACAAACAAAATAATTTGTTCATTTAATAAAAAAATAATAATTTCAGTGAAGAGTGTGAACTTTTCATATTCAACAAAACAATTATATATACAGTGGGTACGGAAAGTATTCAGACCCTCTTAAATTTTTCACTCTTTGTTATATTGCAGTCATTTGCTAAAATCATTTAAGTTAATTTTTTTTCCTCATTAATGTACACACAGCACCCCATATTGACAGAAAAACACAGAATTGTTGACATTTTTGCAGATTTATTAAAAAAGAAAAACTGAAATATCACATGGTCCTAAGTATTCAGACCCTTTGCTCAGTATTTAGTAGAAGCACCCTTTTGATCGAATACAGCCATGAGTCTTTTTGGGAAAGAGGCAACAAGTTTTTCACACCTGGATTTAGGGATCCTCTGCCATTCCTCCTTGCAGAGCCTCTCCAGTTCTGTCAGGTTGGGGTTGTGGTTTTCACATAAAAGACGTTTACATATAATCCACAAGAGAAAATAATAGTTGAATTTATAAAAATTACCCTGTTCAAACGTTTACATATGCTTGATTCTTAATATTGTGTTGTTACCTGGATGATCCACAGCTGTATATTTATTTATTTATTTATTTATTTATTTTTGTGATAAAGATTCATGAGTCCCTTGTTTGTTCTGAAGAGTAAATCTGCTCAGCTGTTCTTAAGAAAAATCCTTCAGATCCCACAAATTCTTTGGTTTTCCAGCATCTTTTGCATATTTGATCCCTTTCTGTATGATGATGACAATGTCTGTATAATTTTGAGATCCATCTTTTCACACTGAAGACAACTGAGGGACAAATACATAACAACTACAAAAGGTTCACACGGTCATTGATGCACCAGAAGGACAAATTATGCATTAAGAGCCAGGGGTGTAAACTTTTGAACAGAATGAAGATGTGTACATTTTTATTATTTTGCCTAAATATCATATTGTTTCATTTAGTACTGCCCTTTAGAAGCTACAGAAGATACATGTTTCCCAGAAGACAAAATAAGTTAAATTTACCCTGATCTTCAAATTCAAAAAGTTTTCACCTTCAGGCTCTTAATGCATCGTTTTTCCATATGATCCCTCTTATTTTGGTAAAATAATTAACACTTTGCAGCATCTGACCTTGTGACCTTGGACCACAAAACCAGTCATAAGGGTCAATTTTTTAAAATTGAGATTTATACATATTATGAAAGCTGAATAAATAAGCTTTCCATTGATGTATGGCTTGTTAGTATAAAACATAGCTGAAAAGTTGCGCTTTCATTTTTTGCGCCTGAAAATAGTCCCCTGCGTGCTCCCTGTGCACGCAGGTGGTCACGTTGGTTATGTTGACGGAAGTTAGCCTATTTTCAGGCGCTGCGTAATATCATTGCGCCTGCTGAACCCATGGTACGGCAGCAAAGTTCCTTGATTATTACGCCGGAATTAGAGTATAGTTCCTAGCCATATCGGCCTAGAAAATCGCAACTTTTCATTTTCCGTCAGTCTTAGTACACGATGTAACTACAGAAGAGTCAAGTTTTAAATAGGAAAAATATCAAAACTCTTTGGTCATTTTTGAGCGAGATGCTAACGGTCTAATCAGATTCAATGATCTATGCTAAGCTACAGCTAAAAGTGCTACCGCCAGACCCGGAGATCGGCTGAATGGATTCGAAAACGGTAAAACTCAACTGTTTAACTCTAGGGGAGTTGGAAAATGAGCCTATTTTCCAAAATAGCGAAGTGTTCCTTTAATATCCTAATGATTTTTAGCATAAAAGAAAAATCTATATTTTTGACCCATACAATGTATTTTTGGCTATTGCTACAAATATACCCAAGCGACTTATATATAAACTTTGAACTGGTATTATTGTAGGCTTCTATTTTATCATTTGTAATATCAGCTAAATTAGTTTTTTGTATAAGACCCTGACATTATCGATGTAAGAATGTTGCAGTAAATGGCACATTTATGGTCACATAGTGGAATAATGCCATTGCCTTGCCTGTGGCTATTTAATTATGCTGTGAGTGCCTTGGAGTGCTTTTACCAGATATATAATAAAAGCTTTACGGACAAGAAATATTTATAATTAGATGCTATTTACACTAAGTGAAAATAGCATATTTTCTTAGCGATAGATGCTATTTACACTAAGTGCAAATAGCAATGGATTCTATTTACATTAAGTGAAAATAGCAGTATTTTTAACAATATGCTATTTACACTAAGTGGAGATAGCGATAGATTCTATTTACACTGTTAAAATAGCAGATATTTTCTGCTATTTATACTACTTATTGCAAATAGTGGCAATTATCTGCACCTCAGTATTATAGTACATTATAAAACAGTATGCAGTAATAACATATTGCGTGTAAATTATAATTTTAATTCAAATTATTAAATGGATGCCACATCATTGGGACAATAAAGCCCTCCCTACATCTACCCTAAACCTACCCGATACTTTATTTTCAACTTTTTGGTTATTTCCTTAATTTTTATTGAAAATAAAATATGATACGATGTGATATGAGATTTGAAAAGGGAGAAAAAAAGTTTGGTAAAAGGCGGATTTGAACCTGGGTCGATCACGTCAAAAAGACGATGGTATGCGCTTTACCATCTACGCCACTGTCGCTGACTATTGTCAGCCATCTTTTATAATGTTGACCATCCCTATCACACGTTTGTGGGTGGAGCTAGTGTAAATAGCCTCTGCCAACAAGAATTTAAGAATTTTAAATTCCTACACAAGGATGTTATCATGTGGCTACAAGGATAGAGAAACTGCAATGTTATTGTTACAGCTATCAAATGATCTGCATCTCTGAATGTGTCAGATTAATTCACTCTCCATTTATTTTCAGTTATACATAGTAGTTCTGACACCAGAAACCATTAAATGAGTTGCTGTCCTGTGTATGTTGGAAAAGTAACAAGTAAATCCAATCGGTTGATGATTATGTTCGCCATAAGGGAAAAAATACAGATCGTTCTTTGTTCCAAAGGTTAGTGTTCAAAAGAAACAATATATATTGATCTTTGTATGGTCAGAGATGCATCATGGTGCATTGATACTGAAAATCGATTTTAAAAAACGGGCAAAACAGAAAGATTAAATCTCTAGTCATGAAAAAGTGACATCTTTGATATTAGATTCAAACTTTAATCTCTCATTTTATATATGCTGTGTGTTCATGGAAATCAAGTAGTGTGTAATGTAAATGAGTCGGGCGCTGTAGTGGGCGACAGAGAGGAGCTTGACCGGAGCACTGACACGTCCACTTTTTCCATTTGCACTTTCTAATTTCTCGAATGATCAAAACATGAAGGATGCAAAAATAAGGAATTTGCTTGGAAAAAAATAAACCAATCCTCTTGGAGATCAGAGATCACTGTCAGAGGAAAACACAGCCACTGCCCACAAGCTCATTTTTCTGGGCTCCTTGAGCTCGTAGATTTAATATTGTGCTGCAAATTATATTTGTATGATTTAAACCGCATTTTCTAAAAGGCAGAGTGGCTGTGAGAAGATTATCTTTTTTTGAGACATCTGCCTTGGGGGGAAAACATGCTGATCACTCCAGATGTCTGTTAGCTTTTTGAGGTTTGTACAGTGGGTGGCATTTGTAATGAATACATATAATATACAGTTCCTGATGTCACAAGCTGTTTACAGACCTATATTCCTCTGCAGCACTGACATAGCAGTAAAATCCTGTAAAAGCCCTGTCCGTCAGGTCCTCTGTGCTTTGTGATAAGCTTTGTGTTAATCATAAAAATTATTGTGTAGCAGCAGGGTTGGGAAACAGTGTGGACTGAACTGGTCTTGTTTTTTGTAGATCCTGGAACATGAGTGAATGAAAAGCCCCACAATATCCCCCAGAATTGTCCCTTCGCTAAGTCCTTCTTTAAAAAAAATTACTGACCAGTCCTACATTAGATATCATCTCTAATGCCCTGTCCGTCAGGTCCTCTGTGCTTTGTGATAAGCTTTGTGTTAATCATAAAAATTATTGTGTAGCAGCAGGGTTGGGAAACAGTGTGGACTGAACTGGTCTTGTTTTTTGTAGATCCTGGAACATGAGTGAATGAAAAGCCCCACAATATCCCCCAGAATTGTCCCTTCGCTAAGTCCTTCTTTAAAAAAAATTACTGACCAGTCCTACATTAGATATTTTTTACTATCTGGCTTTTTTATTTTCTAATGTAATTCTGTAAACAATCTGTTTGTTTGGGTAGTTTTAAACGGTTATGAAAAATATCTACTACAATAGTATGGCTAGGTATCTATAGATAATATACTCATACATTAATTACTGCCCTAATTACTGGATAAGCATGTACCTACATTTGCTCCAAGATGAAGTCGTCAATAGTAATCACTTTTAAATGAGACTTTTTTTTTCATTTAAAGTGTTTGTCTTGATTCTGATTTGCAGTTTTTAGTCAAGTTTCTTCGTAATTTA